TGGAGATACGCCAGTCCGCCGCATGATTAATTACATTGTGGAATCCTTTGCAGTTGTAATCATTAATTTGCAGCAAGAAATCAGAAAGCAAGCTGACACGCAAATCGTCGACGCCAAACAGCTTGAAGTCAAAGTAAACTTATTCAAGCATTATCGCCAGCTGCTGATGGCACACTCCAAGCAGTTTCACAATGTTGGGGTGCAGAAGTCTATTGAGAAGAGCTACTTCTTTGAAGAAAAGATTCTTCTCGCCCTGGTCAAGGACATGCAACATTTTCTTGACAACCACTGTTTTGACATTTTCCTCAGTTCCAGTTCTGTAGTGTACACATTGCCAAAAGCACCTTGACCAAGCCGCTTTTTAACTTGCAGAGCGTTACAATCAAAGACTTTTATGTTCGCGATACTTTCTGCAGAAGATTGTTGCTTTTTAAGAATTGGGGAAGCTTGAAATGCCGAAGAAACGACATTCTCAACGCAGGGATGCATGTGAAAGTGATAACGTAATTTTCCCGGGAAAATCAAATTCTTGTAGTACGTGGTGAATAAATTTGCGAGTCACGCACAGTGGTGGTCTTATAAATTTGCGAGTCACGCACAGTCAACCTTTGCACCTTTATATGATAAGGACAGTAAAGCAAAGAAATGAAGTCACCTCGTCATAATTTGCTCATATGCATTTGAAAAATAGAATATTGGTAACGACAAAATGTACTGAAATTGTCACTAAAACATATATTTCTATACTGTTGAAATTTAATTACGTTACAAAATTTGACACGTGTTGTACCGGTTGAGATAAAGTAACTGTCAAGTTTGTCGCGCGCTCAGACGACATTTAATTTATGCGCTACACAAGTGAGGGATGCGTGTGATAGTGATAACGCAATTTTCCTGGGAAAATCAAATTCTTGTAGCATGTGGTGAATAAATTTGCGAGTCATGCAAAGTGGACCTTTGCGCCTTTATATGATAAGTACAGTAAGGCAAAGTAGTGAAGTCACCTCATCATAATTTGCTTATATGCATTTGAAAAATAGAATATTGATGATGCCAAATTATACTAAAATCGTCACTAAAACATATATTTCTATACTTTTGGAATTTCATTGTGTTACACAATTTGACACGTTTTACTGACTGAGATAAAGCAACTGTCAAGTTTGCCGCGCGCTCAGATGACATTTTAATTTATGCGCTACAAAAACGAAAGCAATTTAGCCTAGTGTATAGTCTTTCCTGAAGGAAAAAAAGGTTTTAGACCCGTGGGTCTTTGTTTTAGACCAGTGGGTCTTCGTTTTAGACCGGTGGGTCTTCATTTTAGACTGGTGGGTCTTCGTTTTAGACCAGTGGGTCTTCGTTTTAGACCACAGGGTCTTTGTTTTAGACCAGTGGGTCTTCGTTTTAGACCACAGGGTCTTAGGTCTTCAGTCTTCATTTTTGGGTCTTCATTTTCGACACATCCAGTTGTGGTGTGGTGGATGGTGAAGCCTCAAGTGTTGTAAAGGTGACCTCAGGCGTGCCACAGGGCACTGTCTTGGGACCACTTATGTTCCTGTTGTTTATAAATGACTTTCATGAGAACATAGATAGCACTCTGAGATTATTTGCAGACAATGCCTTGCTATATCAAACAATTAATTCAGTGAACGACTGTGCTATCTTACAAAATGATATTGGGCCAAGACATGGCAAATGCAGTTTAATGTGACCAAATGCCACACAACGAGGTTGTCACAGAAGAAGCAATCTGTATTGACAGATTACTTCATTGGTGGTCAGAAGATGCCCCTGGTGACAAGCCATCGCTACCTGGGAATTATGCTAACTACTGATTTATAGAGCTCTCATGTTAGTAATATTGTGAATAAGGCTAACTGGTCACTTGGCCTTGTTAAACGTAACCTATATCCTTGTTCTGAGAGTACAAAGCATTCTGCATATGTAGCCATCGTCAGACCGAATCTGAAATACCTTACAGCTGTGTGGGACCCCAACTGGCAAGATCAGATTGATGCAATTGAAGCAGTTCAGCGACGTGCAGCTAGATTTATCAAAAGAGGCTACAGTAGAAACTCTTACAGAGATGTTAGAGTCATCAGATCTAGATCCTTTAATCGTCAGACGTAGAAATCATAGATGAATGTATTTCATTCAGCAGTTTACAACTCAACTGCATTGCCATTACGTGATTATTTTTTACCCAAACAACTCATTATTAGATCATTTTCTAAATTGTCCTTTATACCACCAAGTTGCAATCATGATTATTATTTTCATAGCTTCTTCTCAAGGATGATAAGAGACTGGACTTCTCAAGATCATTGTGTCTCATTAATTAGAAATACAATTAATTTATTCATTTTCCATCTTAATAGTATGTAATTAGTTTTTATAGCGTTTTACAATTAACTTATTCATTTTCAATATTTATTTATTTATTTTACTTTATATTGATTGGATGCAAAAGCGTTATCAATTTTAAAATGTAGATGTGGATAGATGAATTGAAAGCCACTTGTGTCCAGTACTCTATCTCCTGGTGAAATGCCTGGCTACTAAGCTATGAAAGAACAAACGAAAGTGTTCTTCCAACATTGTTGTTTAACATAAAATTCTATTGAAAAGTTGACAGGAATAAACAAACTGGTTTAAAACTATTATACCCAGCCCATTTTATGAAGCTCAAATAGGCATAGAATATTTTGTAGAGCGCTACACCTCTACATGTTTATCACTGGTCACTTTGTACTTCTTCTCTTTCGTGTACATATAAAATGGTGGCATGTTACCATGGTTGCCAATGGTTTTTGCTCTGTTGTAGAAGTTTATATTCAACCGTATGACTGAACTTGTTCATTTCTACAAAATGAACTATACGGCTTTAGTGCTCTACGATCACACACTTCTAAATAATGATCGAATTCTATGACTCTACGCTTCTCTGATCGAGGATTCCTGGAGGCTTCCTGGTCTTTCATATATAGCCAAAGCAAAAGAAATGGCAATGTGTAATGATACAACTTGTACTCAAGCCTGAACCAAAGTCTGTTACATTTGCACAGCGTAATGTTTGAAATTTGGCCAACACAAGTAATCTGTAATTGAAATTTTTATTTATCACTGTATTTTTATTCTATTTTGGGGGTGGTCTGTAGAGTGGGTCTGTAGGGGTAGTCCATCAACCGGTCCATAGGGTAGTCCGTGGACCCAGTCTGTAGTGAGGTTTGCAGAGTGGGGTCAGTGTTTTTGGGTTACCCTCTGATCAGACATTGCCACATAATAAACTCTACTGTTGTATGGCTCGGTGACTCCATAATGAAACATTTCTTCATAATAAACCCCACCACTCTACCGCTTTATGATCACACATTTCTACATAATGACTTGAGGCTCTACTGCTCTATGATCAAATGTTTTCTTGTACGTTTTTCCCGAGTTCTTGAGGATGATATAGAAGTATTACAGAATATCTAAGAAATCACCTTGGCCAATCCCTCTGTAAATTATTAGTTGACAGAGCTCTTAAATTAAAGTAATTTGAAACTATTAGCTTAAAGGGACTTTGTTCCTTTCTCACTGACCAGAAAGCCAGAAAGCGATGGTTATCAATGTGTTTGTCGGCACAATCTGTAGATGACTGATCCTGTATAGTTGACTTTGCTAATCACTTGCGTTTGCTGTTTCTGTTGCTCTCTGCAGTATCCGTGCCATTGTTAACTTTTGAGGAGAATTAGACCAGGTAAAGTCAGCTATTTTTTCAACAAGGGATTCTGTTCTTGCATAACAAATGTGTCCTTGTTTGGTATTTCAAATGAGCTCCTTCTCTTCACCTCTTGTTGCTTGTGAGCACAACCTTATTCCCAACCACAAAGTTATGCTTGGGTACTGAGACCAAAGAAGTTTTTTAACTTATCACATAATCACCACTTGCAAGTCACGTGACAGGAATTTTTGATGATATGTGCATCTCGGAGGCAGCATATCATTTAAGGAGAGCAGTGAAAGTTCTTAGAAACAAAATGATGGAACAAAGTGGCATTAAGGCTGCTTGCAGCTAGATCTTATAAGTGGTTTAGAATGTACATGGGAGCATCTGCTGTTATGTTTACCTTTACTTTACACCTTGTTGTTCTTTTAGCTCTGCCATGAGAAGAAAAAGCGGACAAGAAAAGCTTGTGTGATTGATTGAATGCCAATGACTTAATGATCAAGAAAACAACAAATGTAAATTTAGTAATAAAATAATTATATTTTTTCGAACACCTCAATAAAGGCATTTTGGATAGGCAATTCAGTGCCTGGTGAGCAATTGTACAAAAATGTGAAAGAAAAGCTGAGGAATATGACACTATAAGAAACAAGGACATTGCTTTAATTTTTTTTTTTTTTTTCACTGCTAGACTTGTATAATTCTTTATTATGTGTGGCATATTGCTCTTATATGGTCTGGGATACACTAGGCAACCCCCCTTCCAAGGTAACTTAATGGAGTGTTTATGTGAGAAAATGTTGTCCCTGTTAGCTGATTCGGGGGTGTGGTACTCCCTGTATTGGCCTATACAGGGAGGCTCCACCTGAAAAGAGTACCTTTTTTCAGACTTCAGGTCTATAAAAGGGTAGGGATTTCTCAAGTTGAGGTACATGAAAAGGTAGGGAAATCTGTCATTTAGTTATTTGTAAAATATTTCAAACAGATGCACCTTATGGCTGTATCGTTTCATTTATTAGGCACCAGACTTCCTTTTTTTGGCGATTTATTCATAATACTGGCCAGTTATGAAAATATGTGAAAGGGTTACCTTTTTGTCACTTAAAGGTATAGGAAAGGGGTACCTTTTCTGTCAAAATGATAAACAAAAGGGTACAGGGTTGGACCTTCAGGCAGAGACTCCCTGTATAGAACTTCATAGAGTACCCCTCTACCCCTGAGTTAAGGTACCCTGAGTGACTTTTTACAGCCTTTTTACAAATATTCAAATACTCAGTTACCCTTCCTTTGAGTTTCTTTCAGTCAGTTGATCACTGGGATTGGCTAAGTTAAATTCTGCAAACTCAACCCACACAATATGGTTTCAAAACGTTTTGATGAAACTATGTAATGATTTGACAGGTCAAATCAGGTTTGACTGGTCAGATTTGGCTAGTCAGATTTTACTGGTCAGATTTGACTGGTTAGATTTGACTGGTCAGACTTAATCGGTCAGATTTGACTGGTCAGATTTTCGAATGAACATTTTTGCACGGTTATCACCCTTTTGACTTCATGTAAGCCGGACAAGATACAATATATACTATCTCAAAATTCTCAATGTTATAAAAGAATTGGTAAATGTGCAGTGTGCAATTATCGAGTTATGGATGCACTTGGGAGGTTTGGTAAGCACTCAAGAAGCTAGAGTTGCACTCGGCTATCGCTTCCTTTCATGCTTAGCAACCTCCCGCGTGCATCAATTAAGTTGGCTCGGAGCCACCTTACGCTTCCTATAGTTTTACAGTTGCACACGTGCTCAGGACGAAGGCTCAAGTAATCTGCTCACACGGAGTAAAATGTCTGTTTTTTTGATATTTTGACGTCAACACGAGTACAAAAAGCAAAACTGACTGAATGTTCTCGCGTTTTCTTCGGTGAAATTCCATAAAATTTGGCAGACTAGTAGTAAATATTTTACTGTAGTCGGAGCTCGTTTTTCAAGAGAAATCTATAAGACCAGTTTTCTTGCAGAGGTAAAAGGCAAAAATTTGCAAAAATCGAAAAAAACCTGCCTGTACAAACCCTACTTTTTTCATGTTTAAGATTCATACCCCGCAGGATGCAATGTGCTGTGAAAATTTTGGAAGATTTCACCGAAGGAAACTCAAGAAAATCACAAATAAAGCCATAAAAAAGTAAAAAAAAACACTTGTTTGGACATTTATAATTTAAGACTAAAACCCAAAATTTTAACAGAGATATTTGATCAAATTTGATCATGACATCATTAACTTTGAGAGAGCTGGGTGCAAAAACGAATGCAAAAACAGCATTCAAGACCTAAGACTTGCGTACGCAACGCCATAAATGATTACCCTATGGAGCGACCTTAGATTAGATTAGATTAAGATATAGATTTAGCCAAACCTATAAGCGAAGCTCCTTGGCCGGGTTGTTCAAAGCCTGATTAAGATAACCCAGGTTAAGCAAGAACTTTGATTTGAATTTTGTAACTTTGCAGTGAGGTTTTCTGTATATTCTTTGGTCTTCGGTTTTGAGCTTGAATAATCTCAAAATACACAAAACAAAAGCAGTGAAAAACATTTGTATGAGAACTGCTTATACTTCTATTAACTTTAATCCTGGGTTAGCGTTAACCGGCTTCCGAACAACCTGCCCCCGTTTACAAGTTAGTCTGACATGCGCCCGCGATCCAATAGCAAACCAGCGCTTGGTCAGCGGTCAACTTAAAAAAAAACACGTCAACTCCATGAGCTCTAAACTTGAGCCCACGATATAGTCACGTAATACTGGTCAGCAGATACCTTGTTTTGACAGGTGTCAATTGACCATAATAGGGATGTCCAATAACAAAGGAGGCTATAAATCAAGGCTGTATGTTTCTGTCAACTCCGTCGTCGTCGTGCGTACGCGCCCACGAGCAATACCGCTAGCCAGAATAACCATAAGAAAATCAATTTATGTGTTCCCTTTTCTTTCCTATATGGGTGTGGGGCTCCATGTGGAGCTTCCGCTACGAGCTCGAGATTTCTATCGCGTGATAGTTGACGAGGGCGCAGCCCTCGTCAACTATCACGCGATAGAAATCTCGAGCTCGTAATCTAATTGTTTTAGTATTTAAATCTACTCTAGTCGTTCAAATCTAAATCCTCTAAATCCTCTTCACAGACACTTTGAAAACGCCAAGAAGCGGCTATCATTTTGCTAACAAGCGCACACTGCTACGCAACTCTCTGTTTATCACAGAATAGATAGTAGCGTAGCCGATCAGAGAACAGCATTCGTGATAGAACGCTGGTAGATTTATACTAAAAACTCGATAGTTGGGAGCTGCACGCTTAACATTTCTTAACTTGTGAGAGCTTGTGTGGTGCAACCCGGACCGGATTTCAAGCCATTGAATGTGGGCTTGCGCCACGGCGAAGCAAGACTTTTCTGGGGAAGCATTGTCAAAAAAAACCATCAAAGCCTGACTAGCCTCGCTTTCATGCGACTCGTCCCGGGCGCCGACCGAGTGGTCCGCCATATTTGCATTCGGTCTATACGTATTAAATGTCTCTAGAATGATGACAGACAGTGTCGAGGACGCGTCCATCGCGATGTGTGAAAAAGCTTAAGCTTAAATTCATGTTTGGATGAAAAGAAATAAATCGCAGCATATATGAAATTAGCGTGTCGTACGGTTTTCGTTTGTTTTAATTATTCTACAAGCTTTAGTAGCGATGATTTCTCTTCATTTAAGAATTCAGCCATGGAGGCAAGACTGCAATTTACGTGGTGTAAGCGAAACGGCACATGTCGACTTTGAAGGAAGACTTGAAATCGTTCCAGCCTTTGACTAGGGTCCCAGCAGCGATTAAACAGGCAATCAGCCGGGATACTGTTTGGTAAGATGGAACCCACCATGATCCCTGCAGCCATGATGAGTAAACTAAAGCATTAAAGAATACATGGCACCGCTTGAAATGGTAAAACATCGTACGATGGCACCACTACCATAGACGATGATAAAACGCACGCAAACCATCCAATCGGCTCAACAAATCAGGTTCTAAGATTGTCTTTGAATATGATTCGTTCAATATCGACACCTCCGTCTTCATAGCTGACTCTTGTTGAAATACGGAACACAGTGGGGCGATTGCCGTCTTTATAGGTCGTCGTAATAGTGTTGGTGGTCGTGATGTCAACGATGCGATGCTCCGTAGCAATTTGACGTTGATCATTCAACAATAGTTGCAACTGACGTTGTAATTCACTTTGATTCATCCTGCAAGGTCTGGGTGTGGGTAGTCTCCCCAGTAGGGGTGATGCTCTGGTTCGTGCTATACCAGCTGGGGATATAGGTGGTGATGGGGTTCGAAGCCGCATCGTGCCCATCCCAGCCGGTGTGATGAGGGGAGTTGATCCATGAATTGTCTAAACGTGATGGGGTTGGAAACGCTTTGTTCGAGGATCTCATCAGTAATCGATGCATCCAATGGATCGTGGATGGCATTTAAGGTTTGGCTAATGATTCTCGATGAGGGTGGTGAACCGACTCCCGCAGGGGAAAACATCGTAAATTTCGAGTTGCTTCTGTTCTTTCTGCCGATCTTTGAATCAATTCTCTAAAGTACGTTTCGTTATATGCTCTCACACGTCCTCCGCGTTTAAACACGCGACCACTTTTTTTCGTAGCTTCGTAATCCATATCCATGGTCTTCGTGGATCGGAGATGATATTGACAAAGTTCGTGGAACTTAGAGCAGATCTTCCTTGAATTGATAACATCGCATACAACCCTCTTCTTTTAATAGGTGGCTGAGGAATCGACGCTCGTCGGAACTCCCGCGTGTAATGCGCGTTCCTTGATATACTTTGGCGTATTTCCCGGGTGGGAACATGTCTTGGCACAGAAACAGTACCGTCACATTCTGATGACGAGAGTGTTTAGTGAACAAATCCAACACGCGTTTATCGTTGCCTCCTACCTTCGTCAAATCGTACAACACGAGTAATCCTTTGGTAAACCCGTTTTTGTAATTGATCCGTGTCTGGGACGCCTTCATGAAACTTGATCCCTCGAACCTTCATGGGTGAGAACCCTTCTTGCCACGCCCCGTAACAGTAATGGATCTTCGGGGGTGAGGTTTGAATCAACTCGAGATTGTTCAATAAACGTTTGGTTGTAAACACATCCTGACGGACCCTGGCACGATCAAAATCCTGAAAGGAGTCTTGAATCGAAACCCTTCTCCTCTTTCCATGGTATCATCAGTAAATGATTAAATAAACGCAAAAATATGGCGTGTTTTCAGGGTCAAAATTAAAAACTAACTTTTCCACCTTTCCTTACCTGCTAAGTAAAATGTCTGTCATTTCCTCTCTTTGAAATTAGACAGTACGCATCTCTTTTGACCTCCGAAACAATACATTCCGCGTTTCCTGAATACTAAAATCATAACATCCGGCATATTTTGACCTTTGAACAAAATTCTCTGCGTTTCCTGACCTCTCGAATTTTAAGTCCGGCATGTTCTGACTTTCAATGTAATTAGTTACCAAATACCGTACTACTTAGTTTAAACATCTCAACTAAACATCCCATGCC